AGTACACCATGTATCTGTATTTATGTATTTGAAAGAAGGCTCTTCAAATCAGTGTCAGTGTGTTTCACAGACAATAAAACGCTTTGGGGGAAATAAAAGCCCAAAAGAAAAAAAGAAAAAAGTGACACACGATGAATCTTGTCCAAACAGGAGGGGAAGATGGTCTCTGTCCCGCTCCGATGCAGGCTAATCAGCGGAGGCTCTGCAAGTTGGCACCAGACAATAGGTGAGTTCATGTCGAACTCACTGTTTTGGAAGTGGTCTGTTTTTCATCAAGACCACCCCACCAGGCAGTAGCATGAGATGAGAGACTGAATTTATTGGAACGTTAAAAGGAATTACAGAGGGTGTGAAAATGAGAGCCTGTGTGTGTGTGTGTGTGTGTGGCCCATTTGACTCCTCTCTTATTCAAAAGCACACACACAAACAAACACGCACACACACTCGTTTGGCTCGTATAAAACATGGTAGAAGACACATAATCCGCAACTGAGACATAGGGTCTGTCTGGCCATCTGTGACACTATTTAGAAAGAACAGCAGGAGAGATAGACAATAATATGACACCAGGCAAGAAAAGATTTTCACAATGAATCACTAGGGAACAGAACATAAAGAAGACTTGAAGACACTCCACATATACACACAATTACAGGACACAAGAGCAACACCAGGGTCAATCTAGCTGATTAGAAGCTAACCAAACTCTGTCCCTAGCCCCACCCCCCCAGGATTAGAGAAAATGTGTCCTGTAGAGTAGAGGGGGAGGGGGGGCGAGAGGTCCCTGAACCTGTAACACACACTTCAAGGTACCCCTCCCTACTGACAATGGGCCTTCATTACGTATCCCTCCCCTTCCCTTTAACCTTTATCACTCAGTTGTGGTCATTGAGGTATTTTTGCTTAGCTCAGTGACGTTTGAAGATGTTCTTATCAAAGACCTGTGTGGTTTTGACCATTAGCATGTGAGAGCCAGTCCCAACAAGGTCCACACCTGAGAATGTTCTCTTAGCATGAGAGAAGCAGAGCATTACTGGAGGAATCACAGCAGTAACGTTGGTTAGGATCACCAATTTCCCTTTCCTTTCAAAAGAGGAGGATTTAATTGGACTAATCTGTTCTTCAAAAAAACGATGGGCGTGCAATTGTGAGGAAATATCAATAGCTGTGATGTTGTGGCAACAGAGACGGAGGGGTGTCTGCTGGATTGGAACAGAAGCCAATCACAGCTTTTTTAAATTTATTTTACAGATTGTCATTATTGGCTGTATTCTTTGTTTACCGTCATCTGCTGCCAGCTGTCAAAAAGATCCAGTGTGCAGAGTTAAAACAATGGAGCAGCAAAAACAAACAAATAGCAGCCAGCAATTTCAATTAATGATATACTGACAGCGAGCTTCAGCAAACGGAGATCATGTCCATCATACTAATGAGAGCGGAGCTCATTTGGGTGTTAAAAACATTATCCGTCATGCATCGACTCTAGCAACATTTTTGCTCAACACTTCAAAAGAACTGGAGAGGGGAGGCACACTTGAAGCATAGTGTATTTTGTATGCAGTTAAACATAGTCCTAGTCATAGTTCTAGACTTACTTAGGCTAATTATGGACTTTGCATGAAGGACAATATAAATAGACCATGAAAAAAAAAATCAGCAGATGCTGAATTCAAATTAAGGATTCACATTTTATTCACAGTTTCTTTCTTTTTATTTAAACCATTTCATGAGGGAGAAAATGTGTGTGCATGTCACATAACCTCCACATTGTGCATGTGAATGTCAGCACAGTCAATGTGCAATCAGGCTACTTAGATCAATGTTAATTCATCACCCTAAAAAACCCAAATTACAAAAAATAAACAAAGGAATTGTATTTAACAATCAGAAATGGGAATAAAGCTATCAAAACAAAGTCAGATTTTGGTGTGACAGCTCGTACCAACCACCACCATTGTTGCCCTTTGAATTGTATGAGAGGATCTGTGCTCACCGCAGCGTGAGACAGCTGAGAGAAAGCTGGTTAAAAAAAACAAAATCAAAAAAAAAAAAAAAAATCAAAAAAAAAAAAAAGAAATCAGTGGCGAGTGGTTTTGCCACAACAATGGCATCAAAAAGCCCACTAGAAATTTGCAGCCAATTGTGGGGGCCATGCCATTGTTTTGGTAGCGATAACAGCACTGAGGCAAAGAGTGGGGCCGTATTGTTTAGAGGAGGACCCCCTGCCAACGCCGACGCAGCTCAAGGCTGCCTCCGCTTTCTTTACAGCGGTGGGATGAGCTAGTGTCCCACAGCCACGCTTCACGCTCGGTCTGCTTCATTTATCCTCTGCAACATCAAGACCTCTTTCCTTTTTCAGGAAATAAAAGTTACGCTGAAAAATAGTTCTAGTATTTGAACGTTTGAGACCGCTGCCTAAGAACACATTTAATATAGTAGAACAGACAAATGGTTTTTTACTCATAACACATATTGTGTTTGAGTGTGACTTTTAAGCAGGTTTAAGTGGTGATTCAACTTTAGCACAATACAGAAGCTCAAACAATTGCCTTTTTAAAATGAATGTCTCCCCTTTTGTGGTTGTGTGTGGGGGGGTCCCATTGTGTCTAGCGAAGGTCATTGTGTGTCTGGTGCAGAGATTGACCAATCTAATCCAAATCTTCAGGTGGCCTGACAGAGGTTACAGCCTTTACTCCCCCCCCCCCCACCCCCCCCACTGATAACAACAGGTAATCAACTGGCCTGTCACACATGCGATCTGCTCGACACAAAACAAGCCCGGGCAGCTCTGGTAACACAGTGCGGCTTGGGAAACAGCCGCAGGGCTTTACTGAAAGGCCAAGGAGGCCATTATTATTATTATTATTATTATTATTATTATTATTATTATCACTACACTCACACTTGAATTGTTGAGCTGCCTGCAACAGGTGGAATTGTTTGGTCAGGAAACCATCTCCAAACACTAATTCTCTCCCCCCCCCCCCCCCCTTCGTCCAAACAAACACAGCTTTGCTGGGTGCCTCTCTGTCCTTGTTTGGAGACAAAGTGGGCCCCAGACATCACACAGACGGTAAACAGCAGGCACTCCATAAACAGTTACCTGCTCTCAAGCCTATTATCGAACTACACTCTGTGAGGTCTGGGCTTCACAGTCAGGCTGACTCTTCATTACATGTTTGAAGGGGCACCATACAGCAGGTGCATGATAAGACTGCATTCTTGAATCAGCACACAGTCTGTCACAGGGTATCAGGTGAGACAAAGCAGAAAAAGGAAAACAGGAAATAAAACCTTGTGCGCATTAATCACTGCTTAAAGATTACAGCACAAATCAAGAGTATTAGACCATGAAGAAAGTAACTACTCATACACAATAATAACAGTAATCAAGGCTCAGTTGTGAATGTTGTGTTGTAATGGCACTGGTAACAAAGAAGGGCTGGTACTGTTAGCCAGTTTTATTACCCAGATGCCCCGTGAGCATCTCGGGATGACTTCATGATGAATCTCCACCTAGCTGAAGGAATGATGTCACTTTACCACAGCATGGGAATGTGTGTTGTATTGGGCAACGGAAATGACTCATTCTTCCAGACGTGTGAAACAAGGGATCTAAGAATATGTTGAGTCAGGCATAATTGGGGTTCTTGTGCGTCTCTCAATTCAAAGCTGACCAAGCATAACATTGGCCGTTTTTTGGTACGCTACAAAAAAACAAGTCCGACTCACGAAAAAGCACCACAAGCCTCAGACCCGTCTCCAC